ATCATATATGCAAATTTTATAAGCAGTTGTTTAGTACTGAGGGTTCTAGGGGTGAGGAAGACATCCTGCATTTGATTCCTTCAATGATATCCACAGAGAAAATTGAGGTTCTCACAGCCAGGGGCGGACCGATTCATAGGCGAGCCTGGGCAATTGCCCAGGCTGAGATGTTACTGCTAAAGGTAGGTTATAAGGTTATTGCAATTTTTAATAGAAATTTTTGCTGGAAAATGGGCAAAATAGTGAAATACGACAAGGAGGAAGATGAACCAGGTAAGGATATTTTTTTTTTTTATTCTGAGCCTGCCAAAAACGACATCGTTTTCTGCTTTCATTTAATTAAAAAATTGGAAGCAAACGACGTCGTTTAACTTAACATGTAAAAGAAAAAATTAAATAAAATAAATGTTTGTCTGCCACTAAAGTCTAAACATGCGCCCAAGCCCCCAAGTACACAGAGAAAAAAAAAATTATCTTAACAACTTCAAAGCACAAATTATTAGATCCCCAAATTTCTTTGACAAAAACAAAAAAAAAAAAAATCCTCTAATATCTGGTCTCTCGAAGTGAATTCCACTCAAATCTCATTCTCATATAATCATCTTCCAGTTGGTCCGCTTATTTTGAATTAGGCATAATTAAAATTTAAAAAAAAAAATCTTCTCAATTTTCAAGGAGTGTTGATCGAGATTTCTCCCATTTCTTTCTAATGTAAGTGTTTTATGTCCAATTATTCATATCAATTTTTTTTAAACTTTATTTTTTTTTGGTTATATTATGTTTGTTTTTCTCTTTTTTTTCAGCAATTTGTTGTGGGTAGGGCGAATTGGATTGGAGTACGGTATAATGTTTATGCAAGATTATAAGCATTCAGTATGAATATGTGGAAAATTCAAAGTCCTTTGTTACTTCTTAATCATAGAGTGCAGTAGTTTGTTTGTGTACAAATTGTTTGCAGAACTTGTCAACTAGTAAATATTCAAGTTCCTTTATCTTTCTAATTAAAAGCCTACAAATTTTGGCATTCAAAATCAGTTATCTTAATCTGGCTGTCAATCCATTTTGTTTTGGCAGGCTAAGTGCAGTTGTTTATTTGTCTACAAATTGTTGCAGAACCAGTAAATATTCATGTTATTTTGCCTTGCTAATGAAAAGCCTACAAATTTTTTACATTGTTTATTTTTCATGCTAAGTTATGTCTAGTCCATAGATAGTAGCTATGGCATTAGTTATGTTGCGTGCCCGTGGGATTTAAAAGGTGCTGCTAGTCTGATTAAACAATTTGGCTCATTTTTAAGTTAGTTGTTCTATAGTCAATTATCAAGATAAGTTTGTTGATGAGTTTTCTCTTTGGATTTGGTAAATTTTTATGTTAATTGAAATCAATTGTTGATTGCAGACTTACATTAATGGAGAAGTACTACCGAAAAGTATCAAATTCAGTGGAACCTTCAACTCTTTCGTGGAAAGAATATTTTCGGCTATGAATCTCGTGAAGAGCTCACTCCGCAATAGAATGGGAGATCAATGGTTGAATGATAGTTTATTTGTTTATACTGAAAAAGATGTATTTAATAGCATTCGCAATGATGCTATAATGCATCAGTTTCAAAATATGAAATCGTGTTGTGGACAATTACCTTCTCGTCATTGACAGAAAAGTTGTAATTTTTTTATTTATTTTTTAACTTAAGTGAACTTAAAAAATATATATATTTTTTTATTTCATGTTGCCCTGGCTGATAAAAAATCCTGCGTCCGCCACTGCTCACAGCCCCAGTCACTGAGGAGGAAATCAAGGCAGCCTTGTTCAGCTTTGACCCTGGAAAAGCTCCTTGTCTAGAAAGGAATGTGTTTCATTCAACTTGACTCTTCATTGATACAAAAATCTTTAGATGAAGGACTTTCTAAATTGATGTAATTATTATTTTATTTTTCTTAATATGTGGGATTCTCCGAATCTAACTGAGTCTTCAACATATCTTCACTAGATATCCTTCCGATCTTTACACAATACATTCACGACCAATGGTCTAATGTATTTCCTCCTCTAGTAAATATCTACCTTATGGAATGTTTCCTACACATGTAAGGAAACTTTATAAGCACATAATCATCACAAGTAAAAATATCTATGACTATATATAAAATATATCATATTATTCTTCTTCCATATGGTTTAGAACTCCATAATATTTACCATATTATAAAGTAAGCATACGTAGATGGAAAATTTATACTCGGAACGAAATACTAAACAAGTAAATAAATTGAGATTAAAAAAAAAAAAATCTTGCCTAACAAGAAGATCATCAAAATAACATAAAGAAACTATAATTAAATTCGAATGATGCCAACAAAATGTTCAAACATTGATTATCTATGCATGTCTGTTGCATGGTTTATCGCATAAATGAGATTGCACTAGCTCGATTATCTTCGCATGTCTGTCACATAGTTTATCACACAATGAGATTGCACTTGCTCGATTATCTCCGTATGTCTGTCGCATAGTTTATTGCATAATGAGATTGCAGTTGTTCGATTATCTTCATCTGTCTGCACAATGTGATCGCACTTGCTCGATTATCTTAGTATGTTTGTCGCATATTTTAAAGCATAATTATTTCGTACTTTATTAATTATTTTCGCATGTCTGTCACATAATATTTTCGCATTTTATCAATTTTGTTCGTCTGTCAGTCGTTATGTTTTTGCACTTTATCAATTATCGTTGTATGTATATAGCATGGCTCATTGCATAGTTTTTTTGGCACCTATTAAGGTGAAAAAATTAACTAATTTCATTAGAGAAGTGAAAACTTAGCTCATTTTAAAATGAGGTGAAAATAATTATTTTCTCTTTGTTTAGTGACAATAACACCTTACAACAAGTGTATCTTAAGTGCTACGACTTTGATCAATTTTACGATTTCTTTTATTTGAGTTAGTTGATTTTAATATAACTCGCAATTTATTTTCTGGCTTTCGTGGTCATTCTCCAGATAAATATATATTCTTTTGTTTGTCTAAAGATAATTATATTAAAACTGAAAACCACAAACTGAGTATACCTAAAGTGTCAACTGACACCACTAGAATCAGTACAAATACTGGATCCACCCCCTTGGAACACCAAAGACCAAGGGGTACAAATAAAATCCATAAAGGAGACCAGAAAACTCCATGACGGAGATTGAAATCAGACGTAGATAAACTTGAACTAAAAACGTAAAGGAAAAAATTAAATAAAACCGCTTCCACACACACCTAAAAAATACAATAGACCCCTCCCCAACCACTGCCTAACAACCTTACGCTACAACCTCCCGAAACAACAAATCGAACAGTTTACAAAGAAGAGTCCAAACTTGGCCAAGAGTACTAGTCCAGAAACTACACACTCCAAACTGGCTATGGCTAGCCAGAGCTGAGACTATCGACCCCGACTAAACATGTAATGAAAACGACCACCTTCAAACAGCAACCCACGGCCACAATCGACTAGCCATCCACCCCAAACACAAGAAAATCAACCGCAACCCGACCGGGAAGCCTGCCCCTGAGACAAAGCACGAAAAAAGGGAGAGGTGGACGGGGACGTCTCCTCGGCAACACACACGGCAGACGTAATCTGACCTCCACCAGCCGCTGGGATCTCATCGGCGACGATCTGATTGGGCCGAAATCCGACATCCCAAACCACATCAGAAGTCAGCCCGCCTGACGCGGGTCGTGGCACGCTATGGACGCATAGGGGAGTGGACGAGATTGCCGACCTCAGCGCCGGTTGCCCAAAGGAAGGAGGAGGGAGATGAGCCAGAGTCGAATCTGATTTTTTTACTTTTTTTTTACTGTTCAAAGAGCTCTTTTCTCGAAGAGGGCATTTAAAATGAGCGCACAATTCCATATACGTTTAAATTTAACATAATAACAATCTATATGTAAAACTTAATAGTTTCTCTTTGAAAAAGACAAATTAATTCTCTCTCTCTCTTTTTTTTAGACAAAATAACTCTTTTTAACACATTTAAAAAGCTTCTTGCTTTTACATCTTTTCTCCTCTGTGCTTTCAGCTAGGAGCCTTGAGCACTTTTTTCTTTTGGCAACACCCAACAATTGAGTACTATGCTATACGGTGACTAGTGACTGAGAATTGTTGGTGCCGCACAAGACTCGCGCGTTCTAATCGCCATACTCTGACTTTCAAACCTCGGACGCACCTCGGACGCACCTCTACTTAACTAACTTTATCTTCATTAATTTTTTAACATAACATTAGAAAGGAAAACAACAACCTTTTTTGTTTTTCTTTCACTATTACACAAGTTTACAACAACACACGTCAAAATTTCACACGTGCCTTTTGACTCTCGTTTTACTTGACAAGAAGCTTCCAAACGGGCCAACGCCGCTGACGCCCTAATCTTCTTCCTCTCCCTCTGCAACTTCGCAGCTCGACTACTGTTTTCTCCTCAAATTACCAGATCTTTTTTCTTTTTTTTTTTTCTGCAAAATTAGATTAATCTGCACTTCGGACATCCTCGGCCGTCTCTGCAATTGAATGAGGTGAGTTTTTGGTATTTGTTGCTTAAGGTTTGATTTGGGTTCTTTGCGTTTCTTGATTTTGATTTAGGATTGAGTAATGCTCTGCTTCTTGGCTCTGTTTTTTGGTGTAATTATGGTGGTAATAAGCTATTTGAGCGGGATTGTGTGATTAGCAGCTCGTTTTTTATTCGTCGGAAAATCGAATTGTGAAATTGCGAAGTGATGTGAAGTTGTGCTGAGCTCGAATTGAGCATCTGTGTTGCTCGTTTTCTGGCAGGTTTTACTTTACCACTTCGTATCAATGTAAGCACAGTTGACCGTTGCTACTGAGGTTGACTTTGTGACCGTCAATGCAGGAAATTAGGGCTTTCTTAAAAAATCCCCAAATTTGAAGATGGGTTGGTCTGTTTTTCTCCTCTGACGTAACCCCCCGTCAGTTCGATTCTCGTCCTATGGCAACAGCAAATTCGGGGCCCACGATGCGAAAAGACCGGCATTGCCCCCGGGTCGACACCCTCGAGCTGAAACACCACATCCAGATGAAACTCGGCCACCAGAAATCCGAAAAGTACTTTAATCTGCTGAATAAGTACTTAAGCTTTGGTGTCAGCAAATCAGAATTCGACAGGTTCTGTGTCGAGCTAATTGGGAAACAGAATCTCCCACTTCATAACGGACTCATTCGTGCCATCTTAAAAAACGCATGTGCCGCCAAAACTCGTCCCGTTAAAGAAGCAAATCCGTTAAATGCATCAGCAAAAAATGGATATCAGAATAGTCTCCATTTGCTCAGGGACGTTTTCCCTCAGTCACCTAGAAAAGGGCGGTCTCCTTCACTTCGCGATCGCAAGTCCAAGGACCGGATGAGCCCGCTTGGGCCCAACGCCAAGGCCCATATTGCGGCCCGTGAGGATGCGTGCCCGAGAGTCCAAGAACAGCAGAGTGCGACAGAGATTTTCTCTTTGGGCAGCCGGCCTCCGGCGGAGGTCACATCCGAAGAGGGCGAGGAGGTCGAGCAAATGGCCTTGAGCCCCGGCATACACAGCCGAACCGCACTTAAGGCTCCGTTTGGGGTTCGTTTCAATTCGAGAGAAACGAAAAAGTTTTTGTCCTGTGGATTTCCTACTAAGGACGATTTGGAGGCTTGCTATAATAATATCGGGCTTCCAGATACAGGTAGTTTGAGGAAGAGGTTGGATCAGAATTTAGCTGTGGAAGGCTTAACAGTCTCAGCTTATTGCGTGAACTTGATAAACAACGGACTCGATGTGTATTTGAAGAGATTAATAAAATCCTGTCTTGATTTGGCTGTGTCGAGGTCTATAGAGAAGACCTATGTGTCAGTTGCGGACTTTGAGATTGCAATGCAGTCAAATCCTAGGATACTCGGAGAGGACTGGCCTGTGTTGCTCGAGAAAGTGGGCTTGCGTGTGTCGGATAATTGTATGGGTCGATTATAATCATTGTTTGCTCGTTAGGTGACTGACTAGTTCACCTCAGATTAGTAACCATTGTGTGTGTGTGTGTGTGTGTGTGTGTGTGTGTGTGTGAAGCTCCCTTAACAGTGTCTTTAGGGAAAGGATTACTTCTGGTTTTAACGCCGTCAAGAAAAATTTTGGTGGTTGAGAAGTTGGTAGGCTTTGTACATATGTTAGAAAGAGCTGATGATTATTTGTGAAGTAGGAAGTTCTCTTACCCCATAAAGTATAAATGGGATATGGATACTTGTAAGGCTGTCGCCATTTCATATATAATTAAGCTGTTCTCATTGCTAGAATCTGTTAATCAAATCTTGTTTTATTTCATACTTAGTGCTGTTTAAATGGCTTCTCCAAACTTCTATAAAATGAGAAAAACCAATGACGTTCCGTATACTGTTCTTGGATTCCTTGTCATCTTGGATAGATCCAGAATAATGATTTTTCCAGGTGACATTCTTTTATTCGTCGTTTTATTTATGTATTATTATTATTCTGTTAGAACGTTTTGCTGATACAGTTACGTTTTTTGCTTGCTGGAGGCTAAGGGAATTGATTATGACAGTGTATCTATCTTTCATTTATGCGGTAATCCTTGTAATTCTGTTATATCTGCCTGGATTTATTACAGCCCGAGTAAAAAGTAAGGTCCGTTGGAAATCATAAAGTATATTATTTCCAGGTAATTCATGCGCTCGGGACTTACAGTTTTACTTAATGAAACTGGTGAGTGTATAGTTATATTTGAGGTCAATTAAGTCTTAACGTTTTGATGATTTGATAATCGTTACAGGATTACGCAGCCTTTTTTACTATCGCATGACAGAGCGTGCCAGAGTAAAGCAAATTACATCAAAAAAACGAACATTCGAAGAGAATTTAACTTGCAGGTAAAGTTGAAGCTGAACGAGAGGTGGCCGGAAAAGTTGTTGGTGGTCTGTGGCACAAATGTCTCAGGTACTCTTCTGCAGACCCTATGTTTGTTCTGTGTGTTTTACTTTGACAGGCACAATAACAGTTCTCAGTTCATATGTGAATGAATCCTAGATACGAGTGCCTTAAATTGTTCGCTTGCACTAAGGAAAAACATGTGTTGTCTATGTAGTATTCTCCTTAATTGGAGTGTTGTTCTCCCCGTTTGGTTATATTCAAGTAGAGGTGGCCAGGTGCCGGGTCCGGGCCCAGCCGGTCCGGCCCGCCGGGTCGGCGGGCCTCAATTGTTGGGCCCGTAACTGGCCCGGCAATTCTTATAGGCTGGTTCATTTGAACCGGCCCGGCGGTTCAACGGCCGAAAAAAAAATAAAAAAATTAAAAATAAAAAAAAAAACAACTATGACCCGTCGGAAAAACTGGAACCGACCCGACCCGACGGGGCCATGACTATATTCAAGGGGAGGTGTGTCCGACTGGTCTGGTTATACTTATTTATGTAATATAAAATATTTATCATTTCTGTGAAAAAATAATGACTTTAATTCTTAAAATGTAATTGTATTTAGACATGACCATGGCCCGGCCTGGCCCGCCGTCCCAATCCTGGCCCGGTCCCGGCTTGGCCCGCAACTGGCCCGTAGGTTGCCGGTTCCGAGTACCGGCACTGTGGCTTTGCGGGCCGTGTCAGGGTCCTCCTTTTTCTTTTGTCCCGGCGGTACGGGACCGGTCTGGGACAGGGCCGGTTCCACGGGCTGGCCCTTGGAATATTTTTGGCGGGCCGGGTCATGGCCACTTGACTGGCCACCTCTAATTGTATTAAGTCAACTATTTTGGGCATAAAATAACACTATTCATATTTTCAATGTAATTACTAAATGAAAAATAATTCATTAATTTATTATTATGCATCAAAATAATTCATTAATTTATTATTACTAAATGAAAAATAATTCATTAATTTTTCAATGTAATTACTAAATGAAAAATAACACTTATGCATTCATGACATTAATCTACTATTTTCCTTTCGCATCAAAACTAATTATTATTATTATTATTATTATTATTATTATTATTATTATTATTATTATTATTATTATTATTATTATTATTATTCATGTCACATTACTTTAAATTAGAAAAATAAATTATCCTACTATATTTCTTTATGGAAAAAATTTATTCAAATGAATTAAGCATATCCAATTAGTGTAAGGAAATTTTGACTTATATGAAAGTATACTCTCTCATCTTTTCTAGTATATAGTGTAAGGTTGTTCAAAATTTAATTTCGAGCTTATAGTCATGGTTGAGCAACTAGTTTATATAAAGAGTGTATTTGCTAAGCATCATAAACAAACTTATAACTTATTTAGTTGGTTTATAATCTTCTTGCATTCAAATCAATTTAGTTTGCTAAAATAGACTTGATAAAAAAAAAAAA